CCGGAACAGGTTACCCAGAGAGGTGGTGGACTTTACATCCTTGATGATCTAGTTGTGGGTGGTCCTGCTTTGAGCAGGAGGCTGGACTAGATGACCTCCTGAGGTCCCTTGCAACCCTAATTTTCCAAGGTGCTTTAACACTATAATGATAAACACAAGTATCAAAACAAACCCAGAACAGAAAAGAATTTTTATAATAAACAAGGCTTTTAGTTCATATTTACAATTAGACTAACCTTTAAACGGAACACATGTGTCTAAATCTCCTTGGTAGCTATAAAAATGTTGAACTACATGAGTAAGAGAATTGCAGCTGGTTTACCTCTTAGGCTGTATTCAGCACTTTCATATAAATTTCCCTTCAGTAGCTGACATTGTTCTGTATTTGAAAGAAACTGTTGAAATAAAAATGACTGTTTAACTTCGCAAATAAATAATTTCTGACTGCTCCATTCTTCCTCACTGTATCATTAGTTTTTATTGCAAACAGACTTTCACTAATAAAATAGAATGTATAATTTTTGCCAGAATATGTAACATCAATATACAGAATACCAGTATTTCTACATTTACCATACTGATAAACTTGCCTGACAACATTTTTTTTCTGAAAACTGCAAATGATGACTACACCTGACAGATCAGATTTATGGAGACAATTTACTTTATTTACAATGCATTAGTGCTTTATTTTTGTATAGCAAGGTTTTTAGACTATATCCCAAAAATGCTTTACAGAGTTTCAATAATCACAGAGAAGAATATACAATTCAAAAGCTAATCATCAGGCAGAGGAATCAAGAGGTAGATGCTGATGAGACAAACACAGAAAGGCAATTGTAGATGGCAGGAGCTACTAAGATGGCAGCTTCTGCACCAACAAAGAAGAAAAAGATAAATTGAATCAAAAAGTATTTGAAATCAATTCTGAAACTATTAAGCAATGTTTGAGAATGGGTGAAGTTGAGCTTCTGTCCACGAGGGAGAAGTGGCACCTGCCTGCAGCATATGCTGGTATCTGGAGAGCTGGGAATGATAACAGTCAATGAAAGGATATCAAGGAAGATCTCTGCACAGTTGAGGTAAAGTTGTACACTGGCAAGGTGGCACAGTTGGTAATATGTAGATTTAAAAAGGCAGTTCAAGGGTGATGCTGATGATCTGAATGATATGAGTAACGGTAACAAAAAGTTGGTGGTTAACTGAGAAAGGAAGAAAAATTGATTTGAACAACAATGTATATATTTTTTATTCCCTGCCTTAGAAAGCTATGAAACATCCAAACATGCATTAGAAAAGACAACTTGAATGCTCCTGGGATTAGTGATGTTTTTTAGAGATGTTCACAAAAGTATATTGAATTCAAGCCTATATCATGACCCCAGAAAGGCCTGACCCCCAGCACTAAATCTGAGTATTACAATTTGGATATTGGTTTGCAGCACAAATTTCTCTCTACAATGGATCAAAATCAAATAGTCCTCCAGATCAGGAAAGCTTGGCTTTCAAATGCCAAAACTTTCAAATGTTTCTTCAGATCTAGGGCTGGTATCACATTAACCTCTAGAGGCTGCAACCAAGATCGGACCCTGTTGTACAAATAATTGTTGTGTTTTACAGAGCTGAACTCTCACTACCTAGACAAAGAATCTATGTTTAAGGAGTGGCGAGTTGAAATAATCCACCTCAGTCCAAGGTAAGCAGGCCCTGTCAACTCAGCTGCCACTTCTCTTCCCCACACAAAAAATGTTGCAGAAGCCCTAGCTTTGAGGGCTAGATAGAGTTACTCCATAGGCTGCATTTGGCCTGTGGGTCTTATGTTGCTGACCCCTGATCTAAACAGACATTGCAGATAAAAGGGGGAATACATGTAGTGGAGTAACTAGCCCAGGGTCATAGAGGAAATCAAAAGCAGACACCAAGTCCCATGATAGTATCTGCCAGACCATACCATGTCTTTGTCTCTCCTACAATCTTTGCTAATGGTGATACTGTCTATGATACTGTACAAAACCTATGACATGGTTGCCTTCAAGGTGCTTACAATAAGGAGCTCTAGCAGCTTACAGTATAGGCAGACAAATAATATAATGGAATGCAAAACATACTGGGCGATGAGAAAACAGATCAGAAATAAATGTTCATGGTTTGCTGACCAAACAATAACCCAATACTACTTTGCTCAACAAGTTATAACTTGTTGATTAAGTTCAATTTAAAGAAGAATTAAAATATGCAGAGATTAACTATTTTGCACATGGGGATTTTCTGGTGAGTCAACAGCATTAAACTTACTAAAGAAAGAACAGAGAAAGGGATTTCTTTATCAATGCAGAGAACATGCTCCAATACAGGGGTGGCCAACCGGCAGCACAATTGCCACAAGCAGCACAGAGGGTAGCTTTTGTGCATGGCACACAGATCAGAGAGGGAAATATGCAGTACAACAGCAGGAAGCAAAGCAGCAATTCAGGCAGGGAGCACAGGGAAGGAAGCAAAAAGCAGAATAGATCAGACAAGGAGCAAAGGGGAGCAGAAAGCAGAGCAGCAGATTGGGCAGGGGAAGCAGATCAGAGTGACATTTGGGGAAGGTGTTAAAACTAATTTGTAGCACACCTGCCACAAAGGTTGGCCCCCACTGTCCTACCATATCAGTAGGATATGCTATTACCACCTGTAGTGCATCACCTTAGGATCCTAGCTCATGGTATTTCTTATATAAGGTAACCCTTCTATATAAGAAAAGAAATATTTAGCATAGGTACAAAAGAAAGAAAAATGCTCATGTGGTCTAACAGCTACAATATTTAAATATGAACCAACTTTATAAACAGCCCAGGTTATACTACAAAATGCTGATAATAATTTAAATATTTTTTAGTATGGGGCAGAATTCAAAACAGATGTATTTTATAAGAGGAACATAGGTTTTAGAGTCAATCACAGAACTGTACCTCGTGAAAGCAGCCATAATGAATCATGGTGAATAGAAAACATCTAATCCTTTTTCCCGTTATAAGAGGGTAATGCTGCTTTTAGTTTATTTGTTAAACCCAACATATTACAAAGGCCTTTGGTTTCTGATAACCTTATATGGCAGCTCCTCAAAGAAACAAGTTCCAGAAAGCTTATCTCCTTAACAGGCTCCAGACCTAACCAGATAAATAACTACCTCAAAAAAGAAAAGAGGATTAAGAAGAAAGTCTATAAGGAATGATCAAACAAATAAAGCTGCATCAGAGTGTATAAGGATAAAGCAAAATTGTCAGAAGTTAAGCTAAGTTAGACCTTGACAAGGATATTAAAACTAACAGCAAAACCTCCTCCCCCTGCTAACTTTAAGTAAAAGAGAGAGAACAAGGAAAGAAGTAGAGCGTTACTCAGTAAAGCATGGTCCAAAAACCTAAATGAATCATTTGCTTCAGTTTTCAGTAAAGGTACTGATTAACAAAGGAGCAAAGGCAGGATTACTAATGGGAATCAGAAATTTGACATGGAAATTAGCACAACTGAAGTAGAAGCTGAAGTCAAAGAGCTTAATGTACTCATGACAGGGAGAGGAATATGAATCTGGACACTCTCCATTACAAAATTCTAAAAGTAGTAGTTCAAACCTTAGAGCAAGTGTTTTTAATACATGCATCAAATCAGGACAAGGATCAGAGAATAACAAATAGAGTATTTACATTTAAAAAGCAGGAGAGAAAAAAGAATGATTCAGGTAACTTCAAGCCTATTATCTGGACCTTGATGGTTTGCAAAGCTTTAAAATGAATTTTGAAGGGAAAAATAATTAAATATAGTACAAGGAGGTAAATGGAAACCAGGATGAAATGCAATGAGGTAGACTGTGCCAGACCACGCTGATAGTTTTTTTTTGATAAAGCAACAGATTTTCTAGACAAAGAAAATACTGCAAATCCTGTGTGCAGGGGCTTCAGTAAAGTATTTGATACACTGTACCAATTATTAGTTATTATTAGAAATTAGTAGTTGAGATGGGAAATGGGGGAGTTTGGTACAGGAATTAGAAAGTGGGAAAGGAATTGACTAAAGGGGAGATTGTAACAGGTAGTGATGAAAGTAAAAGTATTAGCTGGTGGGAGTTTAACAGTGGACTTCCTCAAGGATCAGTCTTGGAAGCAATCTTGTTAAACATTTACATTAATTACCCTGGTACAATAAGGATGAATATGGTGGAGAATGCAGTCATTACAGAATAGGGCTGGTATAGAAACTGGTTAACCTTGAGGACTGAGTATAGAGAAATGGGATGTAATTCAGTAGGACAAGATGGGGACCTACTAACAAGAATTTATACTATAATCTGGGAACTCATCACTGAGAAATAGCTGAGGAAGAGAAGGACCTGGGTGTACTATTTGATCACAAAATGACTTAGCTGCCAATACAGTGAAGCCCCAAAAGAGGCAAGTGGAACTGTAGGCTGTATTACTGGAGGTATTTCCAGGACAAGGAAGTATTATTACTCTTGTAAAAGGTACTGGTAAAAATCTCACCTTCAAAAAGGATAATTTCAAATGAACCAGGTGCAGAGAAGGACTACTAGGATTGTTAGAGGAATGGAGATCTTATCATATGAAGGTGTTGAGGGAGTATATGACTTCTGCCTATAAACACATCAGGGGTAAACAGCAGGGAGGGAGAAGAGCTATTTAGGTTACTGAAAATGTAAACATAAGAATAACTGGATATGAAATGGCCATGAATAAGTTTGTACTGGCAAGTCAAAGAAGATCTTGTCTATTAGGTTACTGGGGAACTGGAGCGGTCTCACAAGTGGAGCAATGGGGAGCAAAAAACCCTAACCCAATACATTTATGAATGTGATATAGACTGGACTTGGCCATTCGGGGAGGTCCTTTCCAGTCCTGTTTCCGCATGCTCTTTACTGCACAGTCTACTGATTATTGCAGTGTTGAACGAAGATAACTATTACTTTTTCCTATGACTAAGGAGGAATTCAGTGAACATACTGAAAAGTGGGACCTCTAAATGATGGTCTCTGGATGGAAATTAAGGAGTCCCTTGACATTTCTCCCAGAACACATATACTGGAAGAAACATTTCATTCTTGTCCTGCTAATGCAATGTAAATAACACAGTTGACTAAGTACTTGATTACTTAATTCAAGGATTCTCACCCAGGGTGATTTGAGGCAACTTTTAAGGGTGCTGTGGGGTACCTCACAAAGTTAGCGCGGTGAGGTATGCAAACATGATTCATAAGATAAACGCAGAGATTTCAAATAGGAATCCATGGTGTTAAAAATATTCTGGCCCATTGTGGTCTCAGTTCTCTGCAACAAAATTGCTTTATTATTTTTCTGTAGTCAAAGAATGAGTCAAAACTAAGAGCGCACACCTTGAGTCTAAAATGGCTGAGAACCATTCACTTAATTTCTTTCTGTACCTCCAAAAGATGCCACAGAACTGCAAAAAAGAATTAAATCTCTGCTGTACTATGGGTCAGTTCTAGTTCTGCTCTCCTTACTTAGTTCAAAACTTCCACAGGACTGGCACTTAGGAAGTATCTCGCACTGTATTTGGGCACAGAATAACTTTGTTAGAACAAAAGTTAGAAGTGGGGACTCTACATTACAGTGGAAGACACTAGTCGATCATTAGATTTATGTCAGAGCCAAAAGTTATGAAAGCATTGTGTACCACCATCTCCTTTTTCAGCCTACAGATTTTCACTGACACTAAACAATTTCATCATTTGAAAAATGAACTCTAATTGTGAATTTTAGGACACTAACCTTAAAATGTTTAATCATTTAAATCGCGGACTTCTGGCAGATGGGTACCTAAAGAGCTCTGTAAGAGTCCTGCCGCCAGCTATGTTTACTATTCTTCTAATTTCCTGTTCCAAAATTCTTGCACTTGTTGTGCACTTGCACCAACTGTGCACTTGGTTTCTTCCCCTTCAGCTGTTATGATTAGTTAACTATTGTTGCTTTTAGACCACACTTGGGCACTTTTTTTTTTCTCTCGCAATCAGTGACTTGGCACTGTCTGCACCTACATAGTGCACTCATCTAAACACTTTAAACAAGCAACAGCTACTTAAATAGTGCTGGGTATTGGAGCATGGTTCTACCAACAAGACACATTTATGTAGTCAGAGTAACACCAGTCCTGGCTTACAAAGAAAACAAGGAATGGAGAAAAGAAATTAAACATGTAAATAGATGAAAATTCAAGGAGAGACAACTATATTATAAAAACATGATGGAGAGGATATTAAAGAAAAAGGTCTGCAACTAAAGATGTTTCCAGTACTGGTATTGTGACAAACTCATTAATGAGGACAAGGTCTGAATCTTCTGTACACTTGTAATATATTTATCATATATATATTGTAATACATTCCAGGAGCTCAAAGTAAAACACTATGGTTAAGATTTTTCAAAAACTTTGAAACTCTTTCTTGAAAGGACTAGTTATATGCATGACTAAATCCTCTAAACTTGACTTTGGAAAATCTCAGACTGCTTGCAATGAATGAATGATCATTATGTGCAGTTTAACAACCATTAAATCAAAGCACAGAGGCACAGTATCTTCTACTCATTAGCTGAAAGGCTACTCTGCATATGCAATGTTAGAGCTTGATTCTATGCCGTGGTTTTCAAACTTTTGGCTGCACACCCCTTCACCTGCAAAATATTGCATATTCATTCCTTAAGATCAATGTCAATACTGATGACAATGCACAGCAATGCCGTTATTCACCATGCACTGGTCAATTGGAAGCTCCACTGCCATTATTCAAATTTAGACATGTACCCCTTAGCAGAGTACTTACAGTCCTGAGGGTATGTGTACTTCAGTTTGAAAACCACTGGCCTAAAGCACTGGTGGTAGCTCGTTGTTGTTTATTCACTTTTTGTGTACACATACAAATTCTATACCAAATTTGTCCAAGTTGTACATTGCTATATTTCTATTCAGCTAAGAAGGGAGTCAAATTATACAAAAAAATTCTAAAATAAGAGACATTAAGCAAACTGAATTCAGATCATATAGTTGAAATAAAAAATAAATGTATATAACATATTGCATGACTAATACAACATAAACTTCCATTCAGAAAACAAAATGTAATCACATTGAAATCAAAATAAAACAAACATTACAATTCACAGCCAACACATTTCAATAACTATAAATTCTTAATTCCTAACTAACATTTTCTTTAAAAAAGGTTGTTAAAATATTTACGCTGACTCTCTTTACTTTAAACAACTAAAATGATTTGTTAAAGTATTACTGGTCACTTGTCCTTTGTCTTAAGTTTCTAGATTTTCCATTTTCAAATCTTCTCTTTCTGAAGGTTGATATCCCTTCTGACAGGTCTCCAAGGGAAGTGACTATTTTTTCTTTAAATATCACTTTTGCGTCCTCTGGAACTTCTAGCACTGGAGGAGGTAGACGGTCACTATCCATACTAGGAAGTTCTAGGTCCACTTTTTCACTAGAAGCAGAGTTAAAAATAAAGAAAAGTTACTTGACAAGATCAAGACCAGCAATGTGGAATGCAGACAACAGGGTCTGAACTTTATTTTCAAAACAGCTTTGCAAATTGTATTGAAAACATATGAGCCGGACAAGGTCTACTTGCTCATCTTTGTAATTATGTGAATGTGGTAAATATGGAGAAAAAGTTAATATTTTACCTCCCCTAGTTAAGCTGGCACATTGGACATAAAACATAACAAACACAACCCCCAGTGAAAACAATCAATCACATTCAAAATTTTACTCATGCAAGTAATCCTATAAAAGTCAGTATTTGTGTAGCTACTCAGGCATAAAGTTAAGTGTATGTTTAACAGTTTGTAGGAATGGGACGTAAAAACACCATACTTGGCATGTGCTTAGTAAGTTTAGCCAATGGGCCAGAAGAGTTGAACTCAAGGAGCCAAGCAGCTATCTCTGCCACTGACGTCACCTCAAGCTGCAAATCGTAAGCCTGGTTTGGTAGTGAGTCTTATACCTATTACCCAAGAAACACTGCAATAATCAAGCACTACAGCATTTCTCTATCATATTGTTCTGCACAATTCCAGCTCTTGCGGTGCAACAGCAAGTTCCCTGAGGCAAAGAAAATAATTTATTTGGTACATCATTTCTACCATGCAGTGCACATGATACTGTTTACATATGGTAATGTTAGAGCAATGTTACAACCACGATGGTCCAAGAACTATGTGAGAGGCAAGGTTTTCTTAGGGTGATATCTTTTATTGGACCAACTGCATAGTTGGGATAGAGTTACACAAGCTTTTGAATGTAAAATATTTTTCTTCAGGTCACTTGCATTCAAAAGCTTGTCTAACTCTATCCCAGCTATGAAGCTGGTCCATTAAAAGATGCTGCCAAAAGAAATCCTTGCCTTTCACTACACACATCAAAAGAATAAGTAATGAAATCAGTCTTTTATTTTTTTTTTTTAAAGAACGTAATTAAATATTTTATTCCATGAGTTCTGTCTAAACTGAGTTGAAAAGCACCTCTGAAAAAGTATTGCTTGAATCTGCTAATTGGGTTGAGAATTGCTAAGGAAGGGAGGATTGAGGGGATCTGAACATTTTGTTCCTGCTAACTACTAACCTTTGCCACCCTAATGAATTGGGATTCTGAGGTTTTGTATTTTCTACCACACGACAGAGAAAGTAGGCAATGACAATACATGACCAATCAAATATATACATTTCATTCAACACTAGTTTTACAGCTGGGAGTTGTTTTTTTTAAAGTTCCTTTAACAACTCAAAAATGAATTTGACTGTTAAGCTGTCTATAGCTATGTTTCTGCTGGGGCTAAGCCAATGCGGTGAGCAGGCTGTCAGTATAAATATTAAACAATTATTTTTGTAGGTTAAACTTAAAAAATTTGCTAAGAGGCAAATTTATTAGTCAATAAAAAAAGTTATGACTGTGTCCTTCCTGTAATCAAAACTCATCACTCTAGCATGTTGCAAGAGATTCACTGTTAGCAAAGGTTTCTGGTTCTTCTGAAAAAAACAGAGGTATGTCCATTGTTAGCCAATGAGCCACAAAGGATACATATACTGATCAGTATTTGCTAAGGCTGCCATTAAGATAAAGAGTTCTTGCATCACAGGAGCTCTTGAAAAAAGACAAAGGAGTGTAGATAATAGCCATGCAAATGGACTTTAACTACTCAAGTCTGTCTTGTGTGGCAGCTCACCAGTTAAGAAAGGCTAATAGCCTTAATTAGATTATATTCAATTAGACTAAACCCAGCTAATGTTTACACTGCAGTTCTCTTTTATATGCCTTTGAATAAATGGCGGTCCAACTTTCGTACTTGTCCTATGATCCAGACACTTTTTATCTAAGCATCTTATTAACAAAGTGCTACAGGACCTCTGTAAGTGTCACTAAACCCTTTTTAAAGATAGGGAAACTTTTTGATAGAAAGGAGTGTGATGACTTATCTGATGTTAACTAGCCACTGATAGTCAGAAACAGAATCTTAAGATTCCTGCCTCTCAATTCCCCTGCTCTATTTGCCAATATCAGTGAAATGCACACTTATGCTAATAAAAGTTACCTTTTTGTTATAGCACCGTGCATTATTTAATTAATTTACTAAAAAGATTATGCTAGAAGCTCATAAACCATAGCAGCTACTTGAATAATCTGAAGCTCCATTACTAGCTACCTATAGAGTATTTCTGAGTTTTGACTCAGTCTTGCACTTAAGCTGCAAGCTATCTGATGACTGTGTATTGAAGACCTGCTTGGATTTGGAAAAATACGTGCATCAGATGTAAATTTTCAAGTATCCCAAGCTGAATGCACAATCAGTTTGAATGCATACCAGAAATGGTACCTTAAAACTTAATTTCAAAATCTGGTTAATGATATTTGAGACTAGTTGGAAGACATTAATTCATTTTACCATCAGTTTGTGAAATTTACTCTGAACTTACTTATGATAACAGGTACTTACTATGAGACTTCCTCTTTTGCAACTTCCTCCCAGTCTCCGTAGGGATTGGTCTTTTTAGAAAGACTGTGGGATGTTTTCCGTGGAACTGATTTAGAGTCATCTTCTTCCTCCTCCTCCTCCTCCTCCTCCTCTTCCTCCTTCTCTTCCTCTTCCTCCTCCTCCTCACCACCTTGTTTCACATTCTGCCACGTTCCATAAGGGCTTATCTTTTTAGCTTTGGGAGGAGTCTCTTCCTCTGATTCTTCAATACTATCTCCTTTCCTCTAAGGAGGAAAAAACCCACCTTAAGCAAAAACGCCTAAATAAAAACATAATGTTGCTTTATTTCACTTCTACTATTTCTCTCTTATTATCCATAATTGTTATTTTTTAAAGCAAAGAAAACAGACAATAAAGAAACTTCATATTGTAGAAGAATTTTAATATGCTTCTTACACAATCCAGAAAAAAAAGACCAAGACTCATTCATCTCTTGCATACTTGAAACACAAAAGACCCATATACCACAGCTGAAGATGACTGGGGTAGCAAATCCAAACCAACAAACAGTTGATCATATTTTGCCATATCATTTTCTTATGGATAACATTTGGTAGAAGCTCAGATAAATGGATACACAGAAAAAGTCTGGGGTACTATACTAAAGCATCTGCATTTGTCCATTTCTACATTTCAGTGAAAACTCTCTCCAGAGTTTTCCCGCAAACGGCTTTGGGAAACTACTTCATCTTCTCAGGACCATAATGACAATTTACAGTTAAAGTGACGTGAGAAAAGATGGCATCTGATTTGGACACTACTTTTACTCTACCACTTATCTTCTGAAATAGATGCTTAAACACAGGTAAATTTTTCATATAAATGGCCTGATCTTTTAGAACCTAATTGCTTTTGGATATTTTTAAGAGTTAGAGTTAAAAATTATAGTCTTATATTGAAGTCAGTATCAACCTGTGGAAAATCTAATGGAGAAACCTATCTTCTTCTCTGGACACCATAAACATTTTTGGCAACATCCAAGCCACCTGGATTGGAGGGGAGGTTCTCCTGTTTTCTGTATCCAGGAGCATTGCTGCTAATGTACTAATAAATTAAAACATGTATTACTGTTCAAGAAATTGCTTTTATAATAATCAATAAGGCTAAGCCTAACTACAATAAATGTGGTCTGTTTGAAAGATGAATTCATAATATCCTATAACATTAATAAAGTACATAAAGCATTTCAAAGGTCAAACTTACCTTAAAGTTTATTTTTGGTTTCTGTACTTCACGTTTTTTACCTCCCTTTTCAGTATGTGATTCAGCTACCTTTGAAGCTGCTGCTGTGAGTGCTTTAGAACGAATGTCATCCTGTCTGCTCTCATTTGAAGGTGAAATAAAACCTTCAGGCTTCTCCCATTTTGACACTGTTGAACATATTTAGACAATCATATTATTAACATTTCCAATTCCAGTCTAAGGTCATGCCTGTTTTAACAAGATTAGGCAACACTAGGAACAGCACTAGGCGCACATACATGTGCAGTTAAGAATTTATCAAAAGACTTTCCTTTTCGTCTGCTGCATTCTTTTTAGATTAACATTATTTTTCTATACTTTATTGCTAAACACTAATTTTGCCACTTGAGTTATATTTATCTTCTGGTGAGGATTGTTGCAATTTGGCCTATACTATGCATTTAATCTTGTTATCAGAGTAGAAATATTTTATATTTAAATGTATATGTTATATAACTTTTAATTAAAAATATTAGTTTGTCATATTTGGTTAATTAACCTATGACAATGCAACAGGAATTACAGCAATAATGCATTACCATTTTCCATCACTCTTGGACACCAACTTCATATATGCAATCACCTGCATACAGTACCCCTCTGTTGTCTACACTGGACAGACAGAGTGATTCCTACCTGGCAAAGGGTAGGGACAGACATTACACAAGCTGGTTTAAGTGATCAGAAACTGGGTTAAATCTGTAACAGAACATAAGTTCAGCGCACATAAACCAGTTTCAAAATGGCTGGTTGAATGCAGTACCAGACTTAACTGATACTGATTTGGGTCAAACTGGTTTATGGAACTTCTGTCCCAGACCTCTTCCTGGTTTAAGTTAAACTAGAGTTCCCCAGCAGATGCTTTGTAGCCCTGGGCTGGGCTGGGCTGTCCGCTTCAGAAAACAGGGTTGGCCCTGCCCATCTGCTCCCCAGCCAGAGCTCCAGTGGAGACTGCACGCACAGCAGGATCTGCCTGGTTTCCCCCTGCCTCATCCCCCACTTGGTGCTGAAGCAGGGATTCTTCACTCCCTCCCTCCCATAGCACGGACCCCACCCCAGGCATGTGGTATGCTAGCTAATGCGGGTGTGTGTGTGTGTGTGTGTGTGTGTGTGTGGGTGTGTGTGTGTGTGTGGGTGTGTGTGTGTGTGTGTGTGTACGTCCAATTTCACTGGGATAGGCAGACAGAACAGTGTCTGATTAGGGCTTTTTGCAGCTAATAAACAGGTCAGCTGGTAATGTCCCTCTGTTCCTTCCTTGAAAACTGTTGTTTAAGACCTTGAACTAAAGAGAAAGGCTTTTGTTTTGTTGATGAGCTAATAAATGCTGTGTTAGTAATCAGTGTCCTGCCCAGGCCTGGCCACATCCCCCCCACTCAGCTCAGTGCAGTAGAAGGAAAGAGAGGGCTGCTCTAGTGCCCTGCAGCTTCTAGCCTGAGTCCCTAGCCAGAATGAATGAAAACTGATCTGACATCAATTCCAGAAAGAGGTATAGTATGTGCCAGAACACTAAGTCTCCTAGGACACTCCATCACTGATCTGAGAGTGGCGTTCTGAGACAACAATCTTTAAAAATGAACTTGAACAGGAAATTGCAGACAAGACTACACCGTGTTAGGTATGGTCTAAATCACAACTATGTATCCTTATCCCATTACCTAGATTAGATTTATAACCCCTATGGGTTAACTGCTGAATTTTTTTCTCGCCTATCGACCTTGCCTCCTTTTCCCTCCCTCCTTCCCTACCCTTTGTATTCTAACCACTGCTTTCTATTTAGGCCCTTGTTGCAAGTTAGACGTAGGATGTATTACCTACACTTAAAATGTAAGCATCCAGCATTCAAGCAGTAAAACACTAAAGCATGGGCTAAATGTAATTCTAGTGTAGCAAAGTTAGGACTTTTCTGGCATGAAGTGGCTCCAAATTGTATTATTAACACATGTTGAGCTAACACCCAACTGCTCCACAGAGGTAAAATGATCAGGAGACTCCAGCGTGGTGGGGCAGGCTAGGACTGACAAAACAGTTGTTTGTCAGGCCAAGCCCCTTGAGCACGCTGGATTCTTTACAGCTCCAATGTTTAGGACATATTTTATTTAGACTGTGGTAAGCATCATCATGAGACTGCTCGAAAAACTTTCTACCTTGTAGTAATGTTTGCTATGATGCAAATAAAACACCCCCTAAATGTAATGTGTAACAAGGCCCTTAGCAACTCTGCTTCCTGTCATCCCTTCACTAAATCTGATGAAGTAATCCTGCTGCTTATGAAAGCTAATACTATACAACTCTGATTTAGTTAGTCTACAAAGTGAAAATCTGCCCTGCCTTTGGCACTAAACCAGATTAACACAGATATAACCCACATGTCTCTTAACTGGTAACATTTTTGGCTGTGCATTTACAACCTCTTGCCTTGATTACCCTAACATGCACAGGTTTCAAAGCCAACACCTCCTTCCACAAACTATAACTAGCCGAGTCAGTAGAATACAGTACAACTAAGGTGCTTTAATTAAAGAGCAGTGTTTATATATTTCAAACCTCATTTGTCTGAAATGCCCTGAAACAGCTCAGGAACATGACCTTAGCTTAAATTAAAAATGTTAAGGGATATGGTATTCTATGAACTACTTCAAATGCAGTGTTTCACTAAGGAGTTTTAAAAAATTCCTACAATCATATGAACAGTTGAAAAACAGTTTGCAGAAACAAATTCTGTTTGATTGACCAAATCAATTTAATTCTAGAAAATCTATCAATTCTCAAAGAATTGCTGGAAGTGAACATTTACATTAACAAAAAACTACTATGCCTATTTCACAGATTTATACATTTTCAGAAATATCACTGAATGCAAACAATTAGAAAGTAAACTTTCCGTTTATGCTATCTTCAGTAAGTAAAGGTGTATCCGACTGACATCTAGTGGCTTAAAGAGCATTTGACAACACAACAGAAATTTTGTTGACATCTGTGCTGGTCTTAGAACACAAAATGAGCTGAAAGCTAATTCAGGGCTAATGTGAATTTTCAAAAACATTAAAAAAAATTGTATTATGATCACAGATGAACAGTATCCTCCAAATCTCCTCAGTATGAACAATACAGCTCCAAAAATGGTTACAAATAACTTCATACAGGTTACCTATGCATGTAAAACCTCCAAAAGTAACACCACACACACACAAATTCAGAAGATATACCTGAAGTTAAAAGTAGTTAAACATGATTTTTAAAACCACTTCCTGAAATGAAAACATATTTTTGCATACATGAAAAACTATTTTTGTGCTTCCTTACAAATATCAATAATATTGAATCTGATTTTCTCTGTTTTTTTACCTGAAGAACATTTTAGATTATCTCAGGACTTGTCTAATCTACATTCAGAAGATGCAAGTGAAAGGTGGCTTATTTAATCTTTTTTACAAAGATTTTATTTACTGCAAAATGTTGCTTGGTCATTACAGTTAAATAGGAGATAAAAAGAAAAAAAAAATCAAAGCATCTTAAAAGAAACTGATTAAAATCACTCTTGGTCTCAGCTGTTTCAGTTTTCATTCTCTTGGCTCTTAACATAATTAAATCACTACACATTCTGTGGAAGCCCAGATAAATGCTGAATTTGTGATATAACAAACATTTACTCTGCCTGAAGAAAAGGGTCCTTTTAGGTTTCTTTCATGTACCATAAAAAAAAAGCATGATTCATTTTTTCAGCCCAAGAAAGGATTTTAAATTAGATTGTTTAAAGCTATTAACTAGTTCAATTTCTTCAACTCAAAATCATGACATTTTAAGAAAGGTTCTCTGCTAAATATGTCAACACTACCATCCTCTTCCACCATGGACTAAGACAGTGTTTCTAAACCTGTGGAACATGACCCAAAAGTGGACTGCAAGAATATATGAAAAGGTCATGAACAAACTTTAAAAAAGGATCAACAAACTTTGAAAACGGATTCTCCATTAAAGGAGAAAAATGTGGAAAATGGTGGCTTTTCCCTTGCAGGCTGGCAGAGTTGCAGCCTGCAAGGGGCTGCTTGGGGGCCTCCAGGCCCCCTGCCCCACTCACGGGTAGCTAGGGCCTGGGGGCAGCGAGTTGGAAGTGAGTGGTACTGGACTGGGACTGGTCAATGTTTACACATAGGTCCTGGTACAAAAAAGTTGAGAACCACTGGACTAAGACAGCTCCCCGCATAGGGCCTTTTCCATAGTAGCATTTTTCTTCAAACCTTGTGCTACTGATAGCAATGAAATGAGCATTACTATGAAAGGGCTGCTGAAGCTTCCACTACCAACATGGGTAACCCTATTACAAGCTAGCCTTGGTGTTATTTGTTTAAAAAAAACCCACTATCCACTCCCCTTAATGTGTCAGAAGGAGATTAGAAGAAACCATGTTCATACAAGACAGTTCTGCAGACAACAAGGAAGAAAAGACTTTCTGCACCTGATTTCTGCAATGTAAAAACAGAAAAGCACACAGATTTTCTGTAAGGCACTCTATTATCCTGCATAACCCAGAGAAAAGCACAGGCTTGCCTCTTATGGAGCAGCACAATTTACAGACAGAAGAGCTACATGTTCCGAAGGGCTATGCAGCAAGCTGTCCCAAGCAAGAAAACCCATTTTAGGAAAAAGCTTAGAGGTTCTTTTCAGTATCTTCCTCTTCTGAGCCCTCTCCTTCCGGTATTCCTGCAGAAGGATAGGGTCCAGGCCATTGTTGTTTGGTACTTTACAGGCAGTCCTCGAGTTACAACATTTTGCACTTACAATGTTTATAAATTGACACCCTTGTTTTGACTTTATGATGTCAGTTTCGACTTTACAATGCTTGATCTGATGCGATGCCATGCTAACAAACAAGTTCGCTGCATTGCTTATTTCCCTAGAGAATACCTGTCCAAACTTCCTTGGACGCTTTCTCTAAGAAAGGAGACAAGACTCCAGAAAAACCTGCAGCCAAGACTCCCGAGAAGACTCCAGCCAAGAACCCTTCAAAAAGTCCAACCAAGAGCCTTTCAAAAAGTCCAAAGTCACCTCAAAGAAGTCCTTCCAAGTCAATATGATTGCTATTTACAATATAAATCATAGAATCAATGAGTCGGAAGAGACCTAGACA